GTCTGCTGGAAAAGCGCAACGAATATGGCGCTCTTCTATTTGGGAAGAAAAAAAAAAAAAAAAACTCACACAAAGGCAGCAGGCAGGTGGTGGCAGCCTTGACTCGACCGTGCTCGCCATGCACGAAGCCGCTCCGTCACTTTTTATTAGTCGTCGGCAAGTGCATTCGGCAAGCAAACTTTCGTGGTCTGGATGCAAACGGGCTTGTTTTGGACTAAATCCAAGACTAAGTCTAAGTCTTAAAGGAGCCCTCTGATCATTTTTGAACTGGTGTAATATTTGCTCCGAAGCAGAGCTCACCCATCCTATACGCACGACGATCAGAGTGACGCCCAAATAATCTATCCCGACTTTTATCATCCGATACACCGCTCGTTGCGGACGCATGACAAGCTGGATTGATACAAATGCATAAATCTCCGTTATAAAAAAAAAAATAATAATAACAACACACACACACACACACACACATAAAAACAAACAAGTGAGACATTCATCTACTAAATGTTGCGAGTGTGTTCAAATTTCAAAATAACGCAGTAAAAATGTGTTTCGAATTCAAGATCACTACGTTAACGATGGGCACAATAAAATCACATACAAAAAAAAATAGTTTTTAGCGTTTTTCACTACGGGCCAGTTATACGTATAGATATAAAAAAAAAAATAATGTTTAGACTGTTAGGACTCCTAGGAGGACGCCGTCCCTTCCTAGAGCGTTTATCGCGCAGGTTGCGGGTAATTCGCATAATCATGTTCGTCGTGTGCATTCTCCGGGCGCGAGGCTCATCTTCGGCAATTTGTCTTCAAAGCCAGCTGTTCCGGCCTGCAAGTTGATTTGAAGCGTGATGAATGATGCGCCCAGACAGCTTTGTATAAAACCATTACTGTCCGGGAAAGAATGCGAAAATGAAGACGTCCTAAATAGAGTCCAACGACCGGGGCCGGTGCTCCAGCCACGCACGGGCGGACGACGTAATTCGCCTGTCACTTAGACATTGGACTTGCTAAACTTTTTCGTCCCGCCTCGGACCCTCGAAGCTATCCTAAAATGACTAATGGCCGTCGAAACAATATTCTTTCGTCCGGCGAGTAGGCCAATTTCGCTATAAATGATAGCTGCCAACGGCCCTCCGGAAGAGACTTGCTTGTTACTGCCTGCCGTTCAAACCGTCCGCGTATAATGGCTGCAATATATACGTATACGAGTTCAGGTGCCCGCGTCAGGTTAACTTCCCCGAAAAACAGAACTCGCAGTTACATTCAGATAAAAGAAACCACGAGGAAATTCGTGCAACGTTTAGGGCCGATGGTTCCAGTCTACCTCACTACTCCAGCTGTTACGTTGCACTACTTCAGCGCGGGACGTGTATGGGAATGTGTCACCAGTTTAGGGTGGCTGCCCTTTATACACCAACACGATGTTTACCAACAAGCCGCGGTTCACCCGCACCGAGTGTGGCGCACTGCGCGTGCGCGGGAACCAGATTCGCGCGAGAGGAAGCTTCTGCGCATGCGCAGTACCGACAGCAGCGCCACCGCATCGGCGTGACGTGTATACAAATAAATGAGTCGGAGCTAATCCACCGCGTCGCAGAGGAGATCCGAGCGAGGAGCAGACGGGTCTTTTCTTGATAACACCGCGGCCGCGTGCCACATAATCAAAGGGTCGGGCGAGAGCCGAAAACCGGATACCGTACCGGAAAGTCGCCCCGCAAGCAGCATCAAAACGTCTCATTAGCGGCACTAATTGCCGCACACGGTGGTGCGGCACCAGGCTGGAACAGCGGCGCCGCTCTCTGAGAAACGCCTGCGGCGTATAATTGGTCCTCGAAGCGGCCCCCGCGCGGCGTGCATAGGAAGGCGAACAAAGCATTTTCGCGACTCATCGCCTCTTAACTGCCGTGTAATGCATTGGGAGGACGCGCTCCCATGACGATGAATCTCCTCGGGCCGGTCTCACCGCTCGGTGAGCTAACCCTTTTTTTCGGCCGACAGGATCGAGCGCGTTTAAGTGGGAGCTGTAGCTCATCCTCGAGCGCCGCTTGATAATTGTAGACCATTTATCATTCAGCCTAACCGTTCCTTGATTTGAATTGTTCCGAGGCGCCGAATATGGGATCAAATTATCGATTCCTTCAATAAAAATTTACTTAGCATGATGATGGAATACATATGGCACACGTGATGTCCTCCCCTTCAGCTCCTTGGTCACCGAGAGTTTCTTTTTATCCGGTCGACAACCCTAAATTCATAACGTTTTTTTTTATTTAGTTTTTTTTATCTGTTTAAACTTGCGATTTGTTAATCTAAACCTTTGTGAGCGTTGCCACCATTATGCATCCATACACACATGTGTCTGTCTTCATCATCCATTCTATGATTACGTCTAGACTCAAGGTAAATGATTTTCATCGATCAAATCGCTGAAATTTTGGAATAAAAAGTCAAGCACTCGTTATGTTCTCTTCGTTAAATGTATACAGCTCCCCCCCCCCCTCCCAATAAAAAAGGAACAAAAATAAGTCATTCGTCGGACGGTTTCTGTGTAATTCACTCGGGATAAATGAGAAATGCTGAAAACTGTGGCTGAACCCCCCCCCCCCCCCCCCCCTCCCCCACCGCACACAGACATACACCCATTTTTTATCCTATATTTTTTTTTTAAATGACTTGCGCGCAAAATTTATTTCTACCACCAGAAAGCGCCGATGCGTTTCAAAGTTTGTTTAGCAATCCCCAAAACAATCGAGCGAAAACTCGAGGCTCTAAAACAATAATTACCGCTCCTTCTTTCTACCCCCCTCCCCGACAAACACACAAACGCACACACTTTACTTTTCTACCCGGTATCTAGTACCACCATAAACACGGCCACAGCACAACGGCACACCCCCAAAAGCAACCACGTAACGGCACCCCTTTGATGTCCCCTCGCCGTCAACGGCAGAAGCTGAGACTCCAGCTTGTCCCGTATACCTGAGCGGAACCTGCGCCAGAGCTCTGAACAACGCGGCACGGCGTTTGGAGGCCGCCCGTTACCTTGATCGCTTCATTAGGTGGCCCACTTCCGCATTAACCCGGCGGCACAATGAAGCCCCGGCCAAATTCGGAGGGCCCCGACGCCCCCACGAGGGCAGGTTTGTTATCATTAACGTAGGACCCTACGCTCCCAACCAATGTCTTGGGAACCATTACGTTACAGCCGCCGAAGCACTGCTCGAGGCCCGCTCAGGAACAAAGGAAGTCGGGGTAAATCAAACAAGGAGACAAAAAAAAAGAAGGGGAGAGGGGGGAAAGGGGGGGGGGGGTCATATGACTTAATTAAAGGCCCCGAAGAGCACGCCTCCTTTTTTTCTGCTGGGGCCTAGATATCCCCACGGGGGTCAAAACGGAGTGGAATAATCAAAGGAGAGAGAGAGAGATACTCTATTTTTTTGCTTAGTTTTGTTTCGTCTGTGGAACGGTGTCTCCCCGTGCCTCAGCGTTTCGCTAAGTAACACGCGTCAGTTAGCTACTAATAAGTGATAAGCCTCGGCGTTCGTTCTGCTTGTGTGTTTTTGGAACGTCACACGCCATAGCGCCGGCGGAGGTGAAAAAGAAAAAGCGAAGAATATACACGAGACGGAGCTCCCGTCCCGTATAACGCCCCGTGTGAAAGCTGGGCTAATTGGAAGGGAAGATGTTTTCCGTGTTCACTTTTAACTCTTATCCCGACGATTAGCAGTCCCGGTACACGACGAGGAAAGCAGCCACCGGGGAACATATCGGCGGCTATTGGTTTGGCTCGCTCGCTCCATCGCCATCGGCGAATATGCAGCGTGCATGAATTTTAAATGCTGATTACGATCCATCTTATGTCTCTTTTCATATCCTTTGCCGGCAGCTCGGCCGGAACAAATCCGGCTATACCGATTTTATGCAATGCGGTGGCAATTTTTGTTATGCGTGTAGCGTTTTCGTGGCATAAATATCAGCTTTTTATTTCCTAGAAACAAATGCTGTAATGTTTTCCTTTGGTTTCCAGCGAACAATTTTCTGAGATTGAAACGACGTGTTTCGAAATCGTTCGCTCCATTAATTTTTAAGCGGGACCTACTTTACATATCAGTTGTCAGGACTCAAATGTATAAGCATTTATAAAGAAAATTACATATTTAGTTATCTCCAAGAGGCTGGTGGCTAATTACTTGTACATTTTTTCATGTTCTTTTTTTTTACATTTTAAATGGTGCTTTGCAAACGTTTCAATCCTATCGTAGCACGTAAATGTACACTACTTTACACAGCTCCAGCGAACAGAGCATCGACGCTTTTGCGCACTCCACTCATAGGAGTACATGCTAGTGTTGAACACCGCGCACAATTTATTGTCTAGGTTGGCGCCCCACATAAGTATTAGTAGTTTTTCACATCCGTCCAGCTGCAAGGGGAACATAAAAAAATTATGTGATCACTATTCCGTACTGTGCGTGCTCGCGACACTTGTTTCGGTCTTTTTTCCTCGAAATAACTCAGAAACCTTATTTCAGGGTAATGATTTATTATACAATTGACATGGAGTTTTCAGCAAATGGATACAAGATATGCAACCGGAGGCAGTGAACATGTGTGACAGGGAGCGTTGTAGGAGACGCTCTGAAGACGTATACAGTTTTAGAGAAAAAAAATATTATGCAACGTGTCCGCCTGACTCACTTGATGATGTCGCTCGGTGAGCATAAAAGGAACCTTCATCCGCCTTAGTGATTCCTTATGTCCTTTCAAAGGGACATATAAACATTTTATATATTTTCGCACAAGGACATGAACCGTTGTACTCTTAGCGGTTAAGAGCGCTCTCGAAGCAAGCGTTGGCATTATTCATTTCGCATCGTCGAAAAATGTGTTGTGCTGGGCGATAAGTTCCTTTACACACAACTCGTGCCGATAAACACGTGTGAATAGTTCATAGAGGATGGACCTCATACCACGTCTCACGAATCATTATTTCTTTCCAGACCTGCATGACTCGGACCTGGAGACGAGGAAGCCCCCAAGCTCCCTGGACCGTACCGACGTCAGCTGCCTGGACATGCAGGGACTGGCGCGGCAGGGCGGGCCGCACCCGTCCCTGCACGCGACCGCTTTCCCAGCATACTCCGGCAACGCCATCTCTACTGCCAACAGCAGCAGCAACCACAGTGTCCACGACACGTCGTCGGATGACGGCAGTGGCCCCATATCACCCCACATGCAACACTCTTCGCTGCGTCATTCCGGTAGCTACCACGACGACCGCTCCCCCGCAAACGCACTAGTGATTGTCGACCCCTTAGAAGGCTCCAGGCCAAAAATCTGGTCCTTGGCTCAAACTGCGACTTCGGACAGCCCGCCTGGACTCCGGCGCTCCCCGGGACTGCCCATGGGCGACCGCTACGGGTTCCAGCAGAGACTAGTCAGTGACGGCAACGCCGGAAACGCGGCCGCATCGGGAGGCTATTACCGGGATCTACACACGGACCCGAGCTTCATGTCGACGACGCAGCCTCTGCATTCGCAACTGAGCCACCAGACGTCCAACAAGCAGTCTTGGCTCAACGGCCACTCCCCCATGGCCCCGTCTTCGGCCTCATCGACAGGGCACCCGGACGTGCTCAACCTAACTCCGGAAGGGTCGCCCACGTCGTACGTCCTCTCTCGGTCCAGCCTGGGCTGCATATCCCCGCAGCCGCAGCAGTCGTCCATGTCCACCGTCGGAAGGCGTTTCTCTATGAGCGAAGACAAGGAGTCCGCAGTCATGCACTCGGACCAGTGCGTGGTCAAGCCCGAAGCCGGGGTATACGAGTCCTCCTCTCTGGACATTGCGACGGGGGATACAGCCAACTTCTGCCGGCGACAGCAGTCTCTCGTGTCGCTTCAAGGGACGTGCCTGTCGGAAACGGCCACTTCGGCTGCCGCCCTCCCGGTCTCCAGGCTCCCGATCCATTCTCCGTACATGACGACCGGAGGCAAGATGGACAAAGGTGACAGCAGTGTTTGCATTGATTCGTGTATAGTGCTCACCAAGCGTATCGCCGGAACACGCCAACTTCGTCTTATATCATGGTATCCTGGTGCCGAGTGAGCGAAGTCGCTCGCTCAAGGTCAAAATAGCGGCCGATCCGAGGACAACAAGTCAATTTTGCCTGCCGGGCGATGTATACGCTGAAATTGCCAGTTATTAATTATTCATTCAGCAGAAATATCAAATGCCTACTGACTGAGTCATTCAGTCACTGACGGTATCGGCAGTCATCTAAGCACTTTTGTACGAAAAAGTGGCTTGCTTGCTTGCTTGCTAAATCAAGTTTTATTGGCCGCCGAAAAGGTGGCGATAAGGTTAGCTTGGCCGGTCGGCAAAATTATGATGGTGGCCAAGGCCCGGCCGCGATTTAGACCTTGAGCGAGTGGCGTCCGCTATTTGGGATCTTCCATTGAGCGCTACATCATGGAGCAGTTCTTTGGCTGCCACCAAGATAGCACTCCCATGAGTTAAAACACAGCTCGCGTGTTTCGTAGAAGTTGAGTGAACACTGTAAGTACATTGCGAAAGGATGCATGTAAAATTCAACTAAGTCTGCTAGTATCGGAACGCATCTTGAGCTCTGAAGGCTCTGGTCCCACAGCGGCCATCTTCATTCATTCATTCATTCAATCATTCATTCCTTCATTTTTCGTGCTCATAAAGAGCAGATTCCTTGGTAATGACGCACAAACAACGGGATTACAAATTAATCAAAACCAATTTAAATGCTAAATATTTTGAGTTAAAGACGTCGATATCAGCCGCACAAATGTTGTACGCGGGTCGTGGGGCCAATTAAGATTATTTGATTAACAAGAAAAAGTAAAATAAACTCTAAAAACTAACGCGAACATGAATATAGATGACGCGAGACCAGGGCAATAGATTAATCCACGGAGGCATTTATACAAAAATGTTAAATCTGTCTCGCGTCTTGAACTCAGTGGGGCAAGTACACCGTTCTAAAAGTCTCCAATATCCATAATAAATTGTACGACCAATAACGATCATAAAAATTCTAAAGAAACGCTTTTGAACACTTTCTGCCATATCTGACTTGTACGCCCAATACAGTTACAGACAACAAATGAAACTCTAGCTTGGACCGAATTAGCGATACGTATGCTCGTAAGTGCAGGTTGCCGTGCAAATCTTGAATGTAATTCTAGAAATAACACCCAGGCGTACAAAAAGAAGCCACAATTATATTATTACTCTCGACCTTAAAGACAAACGAGTCTATATATGGGTTATGTCATATAAAACCATGCAAGAAAATGTGATGGTTTCCTCAAAAACGTCTGGAAAAAATATACCTTGGGGGACAATCTGTGACTAAAACAAAACTGAAAATTGGAACTACGTACTTTTTTTTTCGCCTCTTAGTTTTTATGTGTTTTGATAGGGAAGAAGGTAGGTCTTGCGATTTTTACAGTTTTCACGAGTGACACATTTTGGAGTCTCGCAATATTTCGATTATTTTTTAACAACAATGACAACTTTTTCACTGCCTTTGATCGTTTATAAGAAGGAATAAGGTTCCCTAGAAGTGCTTTTTTTATTTTATTTTATAAAGTGAAAATTCTTAAACCTTTCACCTTTGACAATAATGGGTCAAGTTTGAATCAATCTAGCTTTAGATGCGCATTTAAGGCATAAGAAATATTAGAAATGAAAGCTTGTGTTTAGGACCATTTAAAATTATAATATTGTTAATTTAAGTATAGTTTATATAGAAGAAACAACACTGTAAACATGAGAAGAAAAGCTAAAATTACAAAATTTTAGCTTTAGCTAAAATTACAAAATTTTAGCTAAAAGAATATACGTAGCTTTTTGCACTTTTTTATATGAAAAGCTTTCTATGTGCTCTTATAAATGCAATACAATTTCTTTGACATCTATGGTTTTGTCATATTAAGCAGCACGTTTGAAAAGAATACATATTTGGACCGTCATTCTGTGACGCATATCTCTGTCATTTCGGTTTTCACTTAAATATGAATTATTTTTGTTACATGACCAGTTTGAATTGGTTCTCGAGTCTGCACACAGTTCGGCAAAACTTATACATCGATTGTATTTTTAGTATAATATGGCAAGAGGTTCTTCCGCACTTTCAGTTTGCTTACTTTGTAAACTACCAGAAATCGAAACCCTCTCAAATAATGTTTAAGCGTTGTCATGTGAGATTAAAAAAACATATATAGGACGTTTTAAACGTTTTCCGCGAGATAATAGAGCTTTTTGTGGGGAAAACGGTTTTCAAAGCGACGGCCCGCCGGGCACGTCAATAAGCGTACATTATTTTTTTTTTTTTTCATTCTTCAAACAACTTCCTTTACACTATAGCTAAGCTAGAACATCCCAATCTTAGTCTTTACTCTAGGCACTTCTATCTTTGCGACACCTAACGTACGTTCCAAACCTCGTAGAATGATTTGGGGTGAAACTATCAGTTCTGATGGCATCACGCCGCTTCGGCGCTTGCTTTCGCTTTTCTGCAATGTGCGAGTGTTCCCTAATTTCGTCCTTTTTATATCTTTTTCTTGTTGAGATTTAAGTAGCTTCAAGGTTCTCGTAAGGTGCACTGGCTATTTTTCTTCAACGGAAAGTGGGAACGAAAGGGCAATCTATGGGCTGAGCGGGACATAGACATGCCGCCACACCTTTTAACTGTTGCATCCCCTTTTTGGATAGCTGTCGTGATTGTCTATTTTGTACAGACAGGGTCACTATGAACATTAGAAACGACTATCATATGACGATCCATGCACGTGATAGAAAGAAAGAAGCTATAGACAACCTTTGGTTACCAGGATGAGCAACCAGAGCTAAAGCTCACGAGCCGCCGCCTTCGAGAGCGGCAGCCTTTCCCTTTCGTTTTGCTTCGCTGGCAGGTTCTATGCTGTCCACATACATGGTATGTTATCCCAGTTTGGTAGACACAGTTAACCAAAATTTAACCAAAAACAGCAATATTAAACGTGGGCTGCCAAAAATTCAATCTTGAAGACATTACGAGACTTTGCCTGTGTGTTAACCCAACTAAGGAGTGTGTTTTGCTCACCTGTAAGGTATGCCCAAAAAAAGATGGTTTAACCCTGAAATTGTTGCCAATGAAGAAAGATGAATAAATGAAGTAGCTTTGTGGGAATGTGGGTAACTGATAAAGAATGGGAAGTAGCGCATTGTGCAATGAGATCACAAAGAGCGTAACAAAGTACTTCCCTCATTAATTCATCCAACATGCTCAGCGGCTTGCTATAAGCTCACAAAAGTCACATATCAAGGCTCGTACCACTGTTTTGCATTTTGATGTTGCAAAAAAATAGAACGGTATCATTGTACCATTGTACCGCGAGGGGCACAATGCTTTCATTGGAAGAACGAAATCGTGTCTATCTTCACCGGCGTCGATACAACGAAGTGCAAAATCGACAGCTTCGGAGTTGTCCGTGATGACATCGTGCACAATACAGCACACGCACTGTTCGCTGTAAGCACAGTTGAAGAGTGGCTGAAAGAAAAGATTCCATATTTACAAAAGTTGTCCACATCATCGACGGGGAGGTTAGTCATTTCAAAAATAGGTTTTAAATGTAGGAGATGGCGAAGTGACAACAGGTGACCTAATTTATTTTGTAAGCTACGGTACACGCCAAAACTGCGTGGAATAACGTGGGGAGAGTCTTCAAGTACCAAGCCTCTTCAAACGTGAAAACAGCGCAAAAAAGTTGACAAGAGACGAGTGAAAGAGGGAGTTTGAAGATGTTCAACCAACTCGCCCAACTTACCGCCTTGTTACCAAGCCTCCTTGAACAACCTGAGGTCGTCAGAACTAGAAACCACTGGAAGATTTTCCTCATTAGTGTCCCCGGGAGTGCCCTCGATTGTACTCCTGAAAAGTGAAGCAGCATGCCTGACAGAATTTTATGAAACTTAAATTTTATACTTGTTAAATAAGAAGAGACGTTTCAATAGTTTATTTAAAAAAATGTTGTGCATCTTAAGATTTTATAAATTAACTGGGCATGTGCATGAGCACTCTTTTAATTATAACTTATCAGTCATGCCTCATGTTACTAAATGGTACATGAGGTATATCATAAATACTATGGTCATGTTACAAGCATCTATAGAATGGTTACATAAAAGATTTGGCAACGGCTCATATCTTTTCATCTTAGAATGGAGGTAAAATTTTCTTATTTTGAAAAGCACTGCTTATATGACAAAACCGTATATGTCATAGAAATTTCATTTCCTATATAAGAACACATAGAAAGCTTTTCATATTAAAAATTAGAAACGAGAAAAATACGTATTTTTTAAATACTGTAGACTTTCGTATTTTTGCATTTCTTCTCAAGTTTACGATGTTGTTTATTTTATATAAACTGTACCTAAATTAACAATGCTATAATTTTCAAATTGGCTCAGATACAAGCTTTCGTTTGATTTATTTCTTATGCCCTAAATAGTTGTACATGAAAAGCAGACTTGGGAGGTAAGCCGTTACTTTTATCAAGTAATTTTGGGTGATTCCACGTCAATTCATGCAATGATGGTCCGGGTCATATTTTAGATATTTTTGTTAAAACTATATATGAAAGCCATGTTTTTGGGAGGAACATTCAGCTAAATATGAACGCCGTAACAATTTTTTTCGCTGAGATATAAAATAGAGAAGCTTGAGGCGTGGAAATTGAGAAGATTTCACAATGCTACTTTGCACAGTCGTCATTTCATTGTCAAACCTTTCACGGTACCATAACTTTTTTAATAGGTTTTACAAAGGTTATACAACACATACATAAAAAATTAAAAATATCCATAAAATATTTCAATGCAAACAAAAATATCAAACATGGCACAAAAACGCGTTTTAGAGACATATTCACAATTTTTTTGCAAATAAACCATCTTTCATAATACTTCACAAAACATATCAAAATG